TTAAAATATAATGACAATTTTCATAGCTTGGATTAGAAAAAAAAAAAACAACTCTAGTCAGGGTTCCCTGCTCATAAATAAATAATTCAAAGGCAGCTTATGTATTGAAGATAGGATATTAGCAATTTGATTCTGACAGTGCTGCCCCTGTCATACAGACCTTTATAATGGTGACAGTTCTAAAGGGATTCATGTGGCAATACATACACTCTGCCTACTCTTGCTGGGACCTTGGGCTGACCAATAAAATAGACAAATCTCTGGTAATTCAACCAAGAGAGCAAAGGGAATATTAAGTTTAGTCTGCCTGGTATAATATAATAGTTGATTTATTTTTTAAACTCACATTACCACAAGTCACATAATAAAAACGATGCAAATAAATAATTGTTTCCATAGAATACAAAGCCAAGACAATTTTTCAACAGAAGAATAATGATGGCTCTTGCCTTATGACATATTATTAATACATATTATATATTTAAAAAGCCAGAGGGATTAGATGAGGATGGTATTAGCACAGGAGTGGCAGATTCATGGAATAAGAAGAATCCACAAATGGTGGACTCGAGTATAAGGGAGAAATATGTATATGATAAAGAAGACATTTAAGTCAGTGAGGAAAAGAATGAATTAATCAATAAATCACGTTGAGGCAACTGGCTCCCCGTCGATAAAAAGTGAAGTCATTCCTATCTTATTTCATATAGAAAAATAAATTCTAGGTGGGTTAAAACTATTGAAGGACAAGAAACATCCTAGGTAAGTTTTTGAGATGTTCTTTGCAAGAACCATATCAAAGTCAGAAATCATAAAGCAAAAGAATGTTAGATGTGATGTCACAAAAATTACAAAGTTTTGTATGAGATTTTATTAATTAATTTATTTATTTGAAAGACAGAGCGCAAGCGGCGGGGTGGGTGGGGAAGGGAGAGGGAGAAGTAGACTCCCCACTGAGCAGGGAGCCTGACATGGGGCTGGATCCTAGGACTTGATCCCAGGACCCCAAGATCATGACCTGAGCCGAAGGCAGATGCTTAACCAACTGAGCCACCCAGGCACCCCTTTTATGAGAATTTAAAACAGCCCATACGCCAAAATCAAGAAAAGAGGCAAAGGTGAATGTATTTTGGACCTGAATGTTTAATATCATTTCATTTTCATCACCAGCTGATGAGGCCTATGAACAAGGGTCACAAAGCTTAATCTATAAAAATATACTAGAGAAAAAGCATAGAAGAATATACCTCTGTGTGAGTTATATCTGGGTGACCAGTATACAGTTGATATGCTTTTTTTCTTTATATTTTCCTGTACTTTAAAATTTTGCTTTTGCAGTGATCATGCATTCCTTTCTCTTATAAACAGCAAAAATAATTCAGCTATTAAAATTGCTTACTGATCCGATATGTGAGCACTTCTTGGAAATTCTTACATCATAAATATTAAATACTAAATATAGCTAAGTATCTTGTAAAAAGAAATCTGAGTTTAATTTGGCGAGGACTTCAAAGTACTTGGAGGTTTCCTAATCGCTGGAGTGTAGAAGCTCTTTCAGTACTTGGGTCTTTTATTGCATTGCAGAATTTATTAATTGTCCATATATAAAGTAAGAATATTCCGTTTTGTGGCATTGCTCACTGCATAATCCTAAATATCACAATTACCAAGAATATTAATCAAATAAGCATCAAAACTATTGTCTTGCATTCTATTTATTTGCTTTGACAAGAGACCAGTAAGTCTATCTAAATAATTCATACCTCATTGCATGAGAATAAGTGTCTATAGACTATTTGACAATGAGAATTATATCTTAATAAATATGAAATCTAATTCTAATGTTTTTCCATTTAACTTTGCACTAAGCATATATATTTTAGGGAGCATCCTAGATTTTATAAATTAGTTAAATAAATATTGTTGGCATAGTTCTTAATATTTTCTACTTATAGGAACTGCCAATAATCAATAATGTCTCCACATGGTCTAAATTTTCTGGAGTCCATTAAAGTATAACTTACAGTAAAGAGACAATGATGATGGTAATTGGCATCTCTCTAGACAAATTATTCAAAATGGAACATTTCATTTAAAGAAAACAGTGTCCTAGAGAAGGCTTGGTTTTGGAGGCAGACAAGCCCTAGCATTCAACCAGGGTTCCCTCGCTTATCATCTCTATGTTCTTGGGCAAATGACTTGACCTCACGAGTTTGTTTCCTCACCTGTGAGACAGGGAAAGTGGCCATTTAAGTCAGTGACGAATTTTGTGGCCATTATTGAGGGGACGTATTTAAAGTACCAGGCCCACAGTAGGCACTCAAAAATATGAATATTATCGAGGATGGACAAGGGATGACAAGGCTGCCATGCATCCAGGACAAAGCTGGCTGAGTCTCTACCAAGAGGCTCACAGAGGAACTATCACCTCAATGAATTTACTAACATCCACAGGTGAGGCTGCCAAGCTCAAAACTGAATGATCACAGGGAAGATGACTCACGCTATTCAAGTTCAGTCAACAGCTAACTGATTGAAAGTAGAACATATTCTTTTCTGGTGCCTGAAGTGATCATATCTCCCAGTCAGGCACCACCAAAATAACTCAGTTATTTTGGGAATGATGGACTCAGAACAAAGAGAGGCAGAGTCATGAGAAAAGTTTCACCTGATCCACTCCTTGCTTACCTCAGACCCCACCTCCCCAGAGCATAGAAACTTGGTACCTGCAGAGCTGGAGTTTCTCCAGGGAAGTCCAGATAAACCACCTTTGGGATCTCTGAGGTTGTTTTTGGTTTTGCTTTCATTGTTCAAGGTTACTGATCCACCCTCATTCTGTCTACATGGGCCTTCCAGAGAGAGAGAATTACAACCCATTGGTCTCCACTTACTAAATTGCCATCACTTCCAGTCTTTTCTCTCCAGGTTATAGGAAGATTACTTAGGTGAAAGTGCTGGGTGTTCCCTTAGATAGTCAATTTTATCAACAATGTGAGGATTTTACCAGGATAACCATAAAGAACTATCTGATTCCCTTGTTTCCAAGTCTCTGAAGGAGTCTCACTGCTTCTACATGCAATACTAAGTCCTCTTTACTGTTATTTCTGTTGATTGGGTGGCTGGATCCATGGATGGATGGATGGATGGATGGATGGATGGATGGATGGATGGATGGATGGATGGATGGTTGGATGGATGGATGGATAGATGGATACATGGATGGATGGATGGATACATGGATGAATGGATAGATGGATACATGGATGGATGGATGGATGGATGGATGGATACATGGATGAATGGATACATGGATGGATACTGTGCTGGACATCAGCAATGAATGAGTCCTTGGTATCTTATCTGGCATCCAGAATGATAAGAAGTTGGGACAAAAGAAACTTAATCTTCTGACATATGTTTATTGCCTTTTGATTCAAGGAAAGCAAAAGCAAAGAACCATGTTGAGCTTAAAGGGAAGAGGGGCTGTCTAGTCAAAACAGCCTCTCATTTTTTCAGTCTCCTTCATAAAAAAAATCCACCTTAAACCTAGAATTCACTGAGGTGTTAGTACATTTTGGTCTCTTATAAGGAGTGAGTTGACTGTACTCTGAGCCAGAGTCCCACCTCTGTCCAGATTGACCTTGAAAAATTCACTTGGTTCTATTAAGTGTTTTTAAGTCCCCCTCTCTGTAAGAAGAAAATACTAACTTTAGCCCTCAATGCTTCCTCAGAAATGTTGTAAGGAGAGAGTAACAGCATATGGGATATAGTGTAAGCTCCTACAAAGAAAGGTCCATAAATGGATTTACAAGAGCAAAAATAAATGGGCAATATTCTCAGTATCATGCTATTGTTCTTCCTTTTAAACACATTTCTCTGGTTAAAGTTGATAGTAAACTGATAAATATGCTAAGCGGATTTAGGTCATGCTGCTCTTTGAAACCAGCTTGCTGATAATTCTCATCTTAAGGATTCATTTAGCACCACCCTATCTTCTAGAGAAGAATGGGAAATACAATCATAAAGACTCATCTTGTTTAAAAGAATCTAAACTATCTATACCTAGCATCACCCTGAAGTTAGCCCCACCTTCCCCACCAGCCCTCTGAGCAATGCAGATCTATACATGACTGTCACAGCAACTTGAGTTGAGCAGGAGAAGGTTTTCCTAAAGAAAAGCCCAGAGCATTAGAAGGCATGCAGCAACTCCCAGCTGGTCACTGGAATGTGTTCACAATATGCTGCAAGCCTGCAGAAAGCAACATGCTATAGCCCGTGGAGTCCTTGTGACAGTGACAGAGCTTTCTCGTAGGCTGTAATCAATTATGATGCTTAAGTGCCTTATGTTTTAAAGAAAAATAAATAATGAAACATCTCTCTCTCTCTGTGCAACGGAGACCCAACCAAGTCAAATCATTTCAATGCCATCTCTTGGCCAAATGCTCGTTCTAAGAGAATACTTCCAAAATTGTGAAAGTAGAAACAAAACGAATGAATCATGGGAAATACACAGGGTTGCTCTTTTATCAGATCACAGTGCTTTTATCTCCCGTTTCTCCATATCAAGAAAGAAAATACTCAGATTTTTAATCTATAAAAGAACAGTACGTTCAATGTGTCCTTTGGAAGCTCTGAACAGACACATGCTCAGCACCTAATGCACTGGGGATGCAGCCCCGGAACACTGCCTCGCCCACCATGTGGAAATTCCCATCCAATTTCTATATATAACCACCACATTTCACATGCACACACCAGCCCCCAAACCCGTCCACATGCACACTGTAATCTCCTCATGCTTGCAGAAACTGGAATGCTGTAACAATGCCCTGCATTGGAGAAATTCACGAGAAAAGCCAAGAGATGGTTTCCTGACTAAAGGAGAAAGGGCTAGCGCAGTCGGCGGCAATGCCTTCATGCCAGGGCAGGCTCTGCCCAGCTCTCTGGAGTGTGATCTGCATGTCTAATAATGGAATAGGTTCGCGGGATCAGCCACTTACCTTGGAATGCTGCAGCAGAAGTATCTGCTCGTCAAGTTCCTGCCGCTTGCCTTCTATTTCAGTCTGCCTCTTTCTTTTTTCCTTGAAAATAAAGAGAGAGAGGCTGTAAGAGTAGGTGGGTGTTGGCTCCAGGAATTTTAAGGCTGGAAGCAGTGGTGGCAACACACATCTGTAGAGACGCTCACAGAGACGCTGGGCACACACACAGTGTCACCTGCCTCTCTGCCTCCAGGAGCTTTCTGCCTAACATGCCTGCTGTGGGCTCGGCGAGTGGGAGAGTCTCCTCCGTCAGCCAGGCTGCAGCAATTTCATCCAGAAGAAAAGGCGGTTTCCACACACACACACACACACACACACACACACACACACTCACAGAGTCATGTTCTATGCAGCGTTAATTTGGAGACAAAGAATAAAAATGTCTCCATCGAAAAGATAAAGGTTGTTATAAACTGCAAAGATGACAGAATGAAACAGTGGGGATTCTAGGGTTAGCTTTCTCTCATCGAAATCACATACACATGTAATCCAACACAAGTTCCAATTTCGTAGGACAAATCATCCCTTTCGACTTCACAAACAATGCAAATTAGATGGGTGGTCTTTGCTGAAACTAGTCTCGGGGTGGGGGTGGGGGAGCACTGCATGTGGGTGGGGCTCCCTGAGGTTATGTTAAATATGAAATCTGAAGTTGGTCTGCCTGGATCCAACTCCCAGCTCTGCCATTTGCTACCTGTGTGACCTCTGGCAAGTTCTTTTAACCTCCCTGGGTCCACACCTTCTCTCACATAAAGAGGAGATCATAATTTGTACCTAAACCATATGGTTGGGGCGTGGTTTCAATGAGATGATAATGTAAAGGATTTGGAACAGTGGTCTGGCACATAGTAAATGCTCAATAAACGTTATTTGTTCTTATACTTATTGCCACATGTTTTCTTCTAGGTAATGCCTAGACGCCGGCTCTAAAGGGAGGTAATTTCCCTGTATTCAGAGCATAACCTTTCCACTGGAGTGCACACTTAATGCTCTTCTTCCCCATACTTCTCAAATGCAGACAAGAGACATCATATAAATGTGACTGATTTAAGAACAGAAAGGCCTGCCTTTAATGACAGCTTACTTGTTCCACGTTTTGTTTCCAAAGTGCACAGTGGGGAGGTCTGCTGAGACATTTACGGCACTGGATTATTTTCCTTGACTCACATATGCAGGGAGAAACTTGCTAGACAGACAGAGTGGCATCCGACAATAGAACAGCCAAACTCTGGAGGAGACGATACTGTGGAAGGCTGGCTGCTGGGCTCTGTGCTAACAGAAGGAGTTGCTATGTTTTCTATTCAAGTCAACACAGCTATGATTTGTGTTACAACCAAGCTCCTCTGTGCAATGCACAGACTTGTAAGAAATATTAGTTTATAATCTCAAGCCGCTGGGAGACATGATATCCGAGTCAGGGATATAACCTCCCTGCCAAAGTGAGGCCCAAGAAGTTAACCATTTACCAAAGAACTCCGATCAGTGGTGCATTATGGACGCTGCCTAATCCCAGAGAATGTGTAAGAACATATAATATATGACAGTGGATGGGAAAGTGAGGCCTAATGAGAAGAGCCCCCCCCATCCAGTGCCTCAGAAGTGCCACATGACAAAGCAAGGACTTCCAGAACCAGCCACCATGTCTATATCCTAGCTACTCTAGCCCCTCAAGAGTAGGCTCACGGGACCTTATTGTTTGCTCCCACTGGCTATCCAGATATGTAGTGGTCCAAATTTAAATCCAGATCCAAGAGGTAGTATGTCACGGACACATGATGCAGAGACACAATACTTTCACGCATGTGAAACTGTGTGCTACGTGTTTGTTATAGACTGAACGCTTATGTCCTCCCCCTAAATCTGTATGTTAAAACCTAATCGCCAAAGTGACAGTAATTAGGAGGTGGGGACCTTTGGGAGGTGATGAGGTGATGAGATTGGATCCCTCCTGAATGGGACTAGTGTGCCCTTATATGAGAAACCCCAGAGAACTCTTTTGCCCCTTCTACCAGGTGAGGACACAGTGAAAAGACAATTATCTCTGAACCAGGAAGCAGGCCCCCACCAGACACGGAATTTGCCAGTGCCTTGATCTTGGGCTTCCCAACCTCCAGAACTGTGGAAAACAAATTCAGTCTATGGTATTTTGTTATAGAACCTGAATGCGCTAAGCCAGTATTCTAATTACACGTCTGGTCATTTGCAAACCTAGGCTTTCCCACCTCTGGGTCTTTGTTCATCTAGAAAATCCTCACTCCAGAGTTGCCCACCATGATATGAGTGAACTATGCCTTGAATAGAAAAAATATTCCCGATGGTATAAACAGTGAAATTTTACATCCCCAAGCAGTAGACTCACTGGTGGTCACTGTGAACAGACATGATCAGAAAGATGCAGGTTTTAAGTTGGTTCATTAAAAATGGGTAGGAATTAGGTAGATATAAATTAATGGGGCGCACATTCCAGGAAAAGGGAATGTGTGAACAAGGGTAGAAATGTCCCTGCACATTCCAGGGACAGTGAGGAGGGAAATCTATCTGAAGTGTAGGGCTGGCTCTTTGGAATAGAGATCGATGGTTCAAAAGATTGCCTAGGACTAGACCATTGAGGGCCTTGAATGCCAGGCCAAGAAGTTTGGATTTTATTCTATAGGCAATGGCATATTGCAGGGTTCTAAGCAAGAGAGTGATATGGTAAAATGGCATTTTGGGAACATTAATCTGGCACTGGTGTATAGGATGGATTAATAGGGGATGGAATGCTTTTTCTATAAAGGTCCAGACAGTAAATGTTTTAGGTTTTGTAGAACATACAATCTCTGTTGCAACTACTCAAAGCTATCACTGCTTTGCAAAATGGCCTTAGATAATATATAAATATATTTATTTATATAAATATAATATATATATATATATATTTTTATATATATATATATATAATATATAAATGAATGAGTATGAGTATTTTATATATATATGAGTATTTTATATATATATATATATATATAATATATAAATGAATGAGTATGGTTCTCTTCTTTTTTTAAAAGATTTTAGTAATTTGAGAGACAGACAGCACAAGCAGGGGGTGAGGGAGAAGCAGTCTCCCCACTAAGCAGGGAGCCCGACACAAGGCTCAATCCCAGGACCCTGGGACCATAACCTGACCCAAAGGCAGACACCTAATTGACTGAGCCACCCAGGCACCCCGAGTGTGACTGTGTTCTAATAAACCTTTATTTACAAACAGAGGTGGCAGGCCAGATTTAGCCTGTAGTCAGAATTTGCTGGCCTCTGGATGAAAAGATCATTAAGTGTCTTAGGAGGATGTTGCAATGTGGTGGGGATGGATAAGCTAACAAGCCCCCTGTAGCTTAGAGCTGTTCTGATCAGAACGGAAAGAAAAGGACAAATACAAGAACCAGAGCTGACGAGACCCTGGACTAATAGGATCTAGGGCGGGTAGGCAAGGCAGGGTCTTGGCTTTCAGCCACACAGACCAAAGCATGCTGGTGCAGGAATGGGCAACAGTGGGAAAGCAGTAGTTCCCCACTGGTGCTGTATTCATATTTTCTCTGAGGAAACTCCTTATTAGGTTAAAACTCAAAACCAAACAGTTGTTAATATACACAACCAGGCACCAGCATCAGCATGTTCACATTTGTGTTCTGTCTGCTGCAGACTCAGGCTTGGCCCCGTCCCAAGGACCCTTTGTTCATCAACGGCTGCTAGAGGAATCTTTGGTGAGTTGAGTCTGCTCCCACAGTGATGGGGTTAGGTCCTGAGGTCACTACGAACCCAACAAAAGAGGTACGACGTGCAGTCAGCCTCTGTATAGAATCAATTATGAGTCAATGTCCAGCAAGTTCCAGTACAACACTGTTGGGTTCCTGGGATCGCCTGCTTGGGCTGCTGAGATCTGAGCTGTGCTCCTCACCTGTTAGCCTGCTGCTCCCCAGACTTCTGCTTCCCTGGATGAAGGCAAAACCACTAACTCTCTTCCCACTCCAGACAGTTAGACGACATGATTCCCTTTAGTCTCATCGACCATACACGGTATGTTGATAACTTCCCCATCTGGATTTTCAGCCTAGGTCTCCCTTCTGAGCTCCAGATTCCCATATCCAATGGCCAAGAGTTCATACCCATTCCCTCAAATGTAGTGCTTGCCTAATCATCATCTTGGCCATCCCTCCTCCCCTAGCCTCACATCTTTCTATTCTTCATCTCAGCAAATGGCACTACTCAAATCAGAAACTGCAGTTATCCTGGACACATCACTTTCTCGAAAGACCGCTTCCTGTTGGTTCTGCTTGTCATTCTCTACATCGTCTGCTTCCCAAATACAACCTTTATTACTACCTTCATATTCCCTCCTTTATCTCCCCACCTGCACATGTAGAATATTCCACATTAGTATCTTTAGCAATCCATAGCACTTACCTGTTACACCCAATTTCCATCTGGATTACTGCAGGGATGTCCTCACTAGTCTCTCTGCTTCTGAGTCCTGGCTCTGAGCAAGTCCCTCTGCATGGCTGCTAGAGTGATACTCTAAAATGGAAGTGTATCTCCATCCCTTACTTCAAATCCCAGAATGCCTCCCATTGCCTGCAATGGCAAATAGTAAGTTTTCCCTCACTGCTTCATCTGACAAAAAAAGTACTGGGGCACCTGGGTGGCTCAGTCAGTCAAGTGTCCGAATCTTGATTTCAGCTTGGGTCATGATCTCAGGGTCATGGGCTCGAGTCCCACATTGGGCCCATGCTCAGCACAGAGTCTGCTTGAGATTCTCTCTCTCCCTCTCTGCCCTTCCCCCTGCTCAAGCTCTTTAAATAAATAAATAAATAAATAAATAAATAAATAAATAAATAAATAAATAAAATCTTTTTTTTAAAAAAAGTATTCCTCTTTGACAATACAGTTTAAATATCAATGAAACTAGAGTAACCATCTGCCCAGTCTTCTTTCCTTCAGAGAATTCACATACCCTCATTGTAAATGGAACTGGTGGGTATGACAGTCATAAGTTAATCACATGT